GTAGTCATCTGTTGGGTCCTAGATTTACTGGTTAGGAAAACCTGCTTGGGCAGTCAGTTGAATGTTACAGAATTGTTGAATTCCATACCTTGCAGCAATTTGGCGGGTAAATTTACTCAAGTAGGAGTAAACGCATGGCCCCCAATAGAGATCTCGTAGATCAGTTGACTGGAGCATTGGCTTTATTAAAGCCTTCTCCTTGCTGGCACGGTTTTGAATCCCATCGAGACCACCCAATTTTTTGACGTGTGTCAGACGAACTATTCAAATCTGCCGAAATCCCATTCACAAACTAATATCTCATCAGTAAGTTTACTGATCGAAAGTATGACAAGGTAAGATGGTACGGCGCCCATTTGATTTTACTTGACTTAGCACAGTTTGCTACTGCGTCTTACGCCATTATGTAAGCAAAGGACGGAACAAGGCCAAACCAAAAATCAGCATTGTTAACGAAGAGGACCCCACACCGAACCGTCCAGAAGATGAGGCAGGATCAACGGTACCCTCTCCCATGGGGACAAGGCATTACATTAATTACTGTTTATGACCCCGAACGACAGCCGGCTTCATTGACAGTTAATTAGCGTATACCAATATAATTGCTCTCCCCCCACTTTCTTACCCCCTGACGCTCTGATGATCGCGGACAGTCGATAGGCCTATGGCCACTATAACTAACCTTCTTTTGGTTGCTGCTTCTTATCTCTGAAGATGAGCGCCTGTAAGAGTTCGAAAGCTCAGGACAATAAATAAATTAATCCAGTGCTCGACTCGTTTTCTTCCTTATCCAAATGAACTTCTTTGTACACTATACTTTCCGCTTATGCGTTATGTAGAAACGAAACAGACAGAAATATCTTGTTATTGATATGGCCACAATATTTTGCATTCGCAAGCTTAGAAAAGAGCCTGAAAGTAATACACCACAGCGAAAAAATCTGATATAACGGGACAAGCGAGCTCTTTCATTTCCAGTCAAACTGAATAATTTATCTTCAGGTAAATTTAAAAAAAAACTTCTCAAAACCACCATTTTTATTTTTTCATTAGCTGGGACGAAATTACATTTCACAGAACTTCGTCGGCTCAATATCGTACTAAACCTCTCTCTAAAAAGCTAACCTACCATAGCAACTTTTTTTTAACTAATTTTAGGAGTAAAAGTATCAGACTTCTCTTGCGATCGTTCTTTTTGCTTGACAATGTGTTTTGCTGTTTTGAGGCATTTCGATGTGGCAACCTTCATAAGAACTAATATCCGAAAAACTCATTTTTCTGTTAATGCCCTTGATGTACATCTCATTTTAAAGTTTTTAACGCAAATGTCGAACGGAATCTCGATTGATGGACGAACACATGAAGACAATGAGAACGCTCGAAAATACGCTGGAATTTAAAGGACGATATTAAGAAATAGTTATCCATTAACGGTGATATGCATAAAACTGTTGACTGACGAAAATTTTTTTTTATACAAAGGATGTGGTGAGGTTATATATTCAAAGAAGGAAAATAGAAGAAGGTAAGACGTTCTCTGGGACCAGGAGTGTAGTAGTTCGACGGTTCGAACCCTCCCGCGAGCTCATTGTCAAAGAATGAAAAACGTACAGCTCACAGTGTATTTAACTCGGTTCTGCTGGAATTGACTTCTGCCCTCGATCTGCTCGCGCAACGCAAGGTAGGCATCAGGAAGCTCGATATGTCTGTTAATTGAGTCCGCGCGTGAATGCCATGCTTCCTGCAGCTGGCGTGAAGTTTGGTCGTCTGACCAGCCCAGTATTCGCACGCGTTCGAAGTCGATGCTGTGCCCTGGCGTGGATGCGTGGGCGGCATGCTTGTACTTCCGTCGCACGGCGAGTTCATGCTGGTGCATTCTCTTGAGAACCCGTTTACCTATTTCACCAACGTAATTGGCTTGAACACAAAGACAGTCAATGCGGTAAATGATACCGGACTTTTGGTTAACGGGTATTGGGTCCTTGGGCCGCATAAGTTGCCTGCGGATTATTGCTTCCGGC